ATAATTATCGAGTTCCAACAAAATAAATAATTATTATCTTTATAAAAAATTATGTTATTAAACCAAATATAAATTACTTCGTTATTGTACATAAATTAAATTATAAAAAAATTGGATTAAAAAATTACACAAAAAATGAGGAATTTTAAATAGTTAATTTGATACTAATATTGATATATTTTTGTCAAATTTTTATGATATCATCAAACATATATTTTATTCAAAAATAAAAACATCATCGCTTTCTCAAAATCATATAAAGCCATATTATAACATCGACTGAGATAAAGAATAAAATGAAATATTAAAAACACAATGTATCTCGCTGCATTGCGCGAGTACGCTTCTAGTATTTATTAAATGTATGAAAAGGAAAAAGTTTTAAAAAAATTAATAGACTTTAGTGTTTGAAATGATTAAGTATTTGGATAATTTTTTGAAATAAATAAGTGCTTGGATATTCATTCAGACATAAAAATCTGAAATTTTATGTGAGTTTTTTATGTCTGATTTGTTAAGAGATAAGATCGTTTAAATTATTTTTATTTTTTATAGACACTTATGTTTTATCGTCTTCTTATATGGTAAGAGGTAAATTAACCTCTTATTTGTCTCTTATTATTTTTTTAAACCCTGGGTTTCTCAATCGATTAACCTTGATCGACCATTTCTATTAATAGATCTTTACCGTATTGATCCTTGCGTCTCTCAATTGATGTATTTTAATAAGATTTAAATTTGTTAAATACTAGTAATAGCATATTTTCGTGAAATATTTGAAAGTGGAACTTAAACTTTAATAAGGCAATTTTTTAATTATGCATGATATTTTGCTCTGAAAGTAGGACCTGACCACTGACATTGTGTTCTCGGATTTGGGAAAGAGGAAAGGGAGGATTTTTTTTTTCAAATGTAGAGATCAAGACATGAGGCCCCCAAACCTGTTTGTTTAAAGAATCAAACTGTTCTTGTCACTTTTATATCTTGTTTCGGATCAATCAGTGGCTCACCGGTCAATTCCGCTTTGAGGCCACCCTTTACTTTGCCATCTAGCTATCCAGTTGTGAATTGGATTGGGATGAAGCTAATCTTGAAAATTACAGATACAAATCCTCTATAATATGGGTGTGGGCCTGAGTACCAGAGAGTATCTTCTATCGTGTTTGATTTCAACCCTGGTGAACCTGACACCTTTCTGGAAACATTCCTTCGGATGTTGTAGATTAGGATCCGTGCTATTGTTTAGGGGATCAAGATCGTGAGCTTGAGCCACTAGACTCGTTAATAAAACTTATAAGATAGAGGAAACTACAATTTGTTGCCCACGTGGTTTGTTGATTAAAACGGGTTTCATCCTTGTGGTATGTAACTATAAGTTGGTCATGAAGGTTTAAAAAACGCTAGGATTGGATCCCTCCCTCTAACGACAATTAACTAATGGACATTTTCATATTCTTAAAACACCCTTTTATTATATAATGCAATATATATACATATACATACACACACTCGCTCGCATAACATCGATGGGGTACTTGTCCCTTGAGTTCCATGGACCCAACACATCAACGACACTCACACATTATCCGATACCATCGGTCATACCACCCAAATCCAAGATGAAAACTTCAAAATCAGAATCAAACTCCAATTAAACAAACATTGCTATTAACCCTAATCCAAACATTCGAAACCTTAATCGAGAATGCATATATGGAGTTTGGTGGCTCAACCACCAACGATGATCGAGAAATGGAGGAGACGAAGTGGTGGTCGCATTGACATGAAGGCGAGATAAAATATCATCGTTGGTGTATTTGTGTGTGCGTATAGGGAGGAGAGCTCGCTGGAGAAAAATGGCGATGGTAGGAATCATTAGATGCTTCGACTGTGAATGGGGGGGGGGGAGGGGCGGATGTTCAAGATATGTACCCGATGTCAAAAAATTGACAAGGAGTCAGATAAAGGTGTGGGAGATCGACCCTGAGGGGCTACTTGTGTTGTGGGAAATGATGTTTATACCATATATCTATAGTTTCTAAATTGTAGGGACTAAAACCATCACAATTGACAAACTAAAGGGGTCAAATTGTAGTTTACTCTTTAAAACAGGGGTGTCAAATTTTAGCGACCCCGGTAATTGGCGGCGGGTACGAAACCGTGGCAACAGTCCGACCCGACCCATCTTTGCACATCCTCGTCCCTTCGATGCGATTTTACCTCATCCTACGGTCAGAATTTGCCGGCTTGGAATATAAAAGGGGGAGATCTCTACACCGTTTCCCATCTTCGCAAGTCTAGGTCTAAATCGGATTTGGGGGAAAATTGGCGAAGGTACGCTAAGGTTCGTTCATCCCTCTATTTACTCACTCAAACGCCAAATTAGTTATTGCAATTTCATATTCATCTTGTGGATTTTCGTTTCATGTGTCGGTTTCGTTTTGCTTTTTTTTTAGTAGTATTGAATTGAATTGCAAGTCGTAGATATATACGCGAGCAGAGCAGTTTCTACAAATAGTTGCGTTTTGTGAAATTTCAGTCGAATGTAACGAGACGAGCTAATAGGTTACCTACTTTGTTTCTTATGGATATTATTTGTGGGGGATTTCACGAGTAGGTTCGAGGTTTAACGAATGTCAGAAATTAATGATATATTTGGGGGAAAGTAATCTTACGGTTCTGCAAGAGTTGTGGTGGGATCAGTTGATGATATGGACTAAAACGATGTCCTTTCCATGCCTCAAGTTCTATGCTTTTGAATGATGTAGTAGTCTTTATGTGAATTCCCTGTTGTAGATGTCCTTGCCATTTTGTGTGGTTAGGTTTCTACCGAAATCATTTTATGTCATCGACGTTAGCATTATAATGTTTTGCTTTTCTTCTATGGTGTGCAACTTGCAAGTGGGGAAGTGTATTAGCAACATCATTGGGTCCTGGAACAAAGTTGAACTAAGTTAACGTTGGAAGTTAATGTGTTGGGTATTTTGGTTGGGCTTTGCTCGTTTGAACCTCTTTTATGTGTTATTTACTTGATTTCTTCTATTTTTCTTCATTTCATTGTGATCTCTCAATATGTATGCATCTTTTGATTTAGATATGCTATAGATACCTTGTATTGCCTGATTTATTTAACTGTTGTTGATTCGCCTGAAAGGGACTGCACAAGTTGATTAACGATCCATGGCAAATCTGGTAGCCAGGGCACATATTATGAAAAAAGTAGACTGTAACTTGTATGGTTCATGTGTATATTTTCATCTTTTATTCAAATATCTACACTGATGATGACAAGGAAAACGGCAAGAATCTACAAACCAAACACTCGATATGACAACAAGGCCTCCAGGATGACAAAGCTGTGTACCATGGTTGCTCTTAGGCATCCTATTTACTTGCTCTGCTACCCCTACATCAGGCAGATATGTCTTTTTTGCTTAGGCAACACCTATGGCAGAAGGAACTACATTTTTTTGATGACTTATTCGAATGTATATGACGACTCCTCCGTATGAAAATTAATCACATGGTTCTGTTATGACATCTGTATCCAATATCATGAACCAATTATCTTCAATTGCAGAATTGACTATTCAAGTCAATCAAACTTGTTTAATGACTGAACGTCTAAGAATGCATATTGCTGTTAACTTTGTTTTATTTTGTCTGTTCTATTACTTCATCTAAATGATTCCACTTCCCATTTGTAATTGTGTTCAGCTACAATTTTATAATATATAGTAACCCATGTGGATTCCAATACCTGAACTCCATTCTGTTTACCATTATATTAGGTTGAAAATGCCTCGCTATGATGATCGGTATGGTACAACTCGTCTATATGTTGGTCGTTTGTCCTCTCGGACACGCTCTCGTGATTTGGAGTACCTTTTCAGCAAATATGGAAGGTAAGTGATATTTTCGATCTTGAATAGATTTCTTTCTAGTGCTATTTTACATGCCATACCTGAGCCTACATGTTGAGGTCGATGGAAAATGGGTTAGATAAAAACTAGCAATGGTTCGGCAATTTTTTTCTTATTGATATTCTATTTAGATGGTCAATGTTTAAGATTTTAAGGCAATTTTTTGTTTTGTCAGTGGTTATGGTCAATTTTTCAATAGAGTATTGCTTGCCCAAATGTTGGAAATTCTTGCATGAATGAAAAGAGAGTTGATTAACATAGACAAATGTTCCCTCCTATGCGCACCCCGTTCTCTAAAAGAAGATAAAGAGAGAGAAAAAACTGGCTGGGAACTGTAGTATGATCGGCGTTTCCCTTAGATTGATAGGACGTGCTCAATATTCTGTTGAGCATGCTTTGTGCTTGGGGTCTACGTTATTGATTATGTATGGAAGGGGTGTTGTGCCTCTAGGTGTATGTGATTTAACTTGAATGATCTTGTTGAAGGTTTTCGGGCTTTTGCCTGACCTGGAGGTCAATGGTGGAAATGGTGGGAAGTCTTGCCGAGTGTTAGGAGACTTTGGCGATACTTTCTGTAGTCTTAGTACGTGTTTTTATGGAATTGGCAACAATCCAAACTGGTGTTTAGTTCGTCTTGAGGGGCGAGTGTGATGCACTTCGAGTACTTAAGTAATGATGGCCTTACTGTTTCTGGCAACCATTTACGCAGAGTACGAGATGTGGATATGAAGCATGACTTTGCATTTGTTGTACGTACCCCTCCTTTCCCTCTTTTTTTCTTGTACAAGTACTTTTGAGTTTTTTTTTCTGTTTTTTTAAATGATGCTATTTCTATTCGATGATTACACATTCTGTTTTCCTCCCTTCTTTTCCCCTTTTGTATTGATTTAATATGGCAGGAATTTAGCGATCCTCGTGATGCTGATGATGCAAGATATAGCTTGAATGGCAGAGACTTAAATGGCAGTCGGCTTCTTGTGGAATTTGCGAAGGGTGTAAGTGACTTATATTCTGTGTGTAGATTTAATCTTAGACGTTGCAATGCAATTTAGATATGTCTGTCTCAGCGCTTTTTCGCACACTTCTCACAAGCTGGGGTAGCCGGGGGTCTCCATGAAAACAACCTCTCTACTCTTTAGGGTGGAGGTCAAGTCTGCTTTCATCTCACCCACTAGACCTGTCATCACAAACCTCTTACAAGTCGGGGATCTTCATGGAAACAACCTCTCTACTCTATGAGGGCAGAGGTCAGGATTGCGTCATTTCGCCCCCATACCTCACCTTGGGGTGGGATATACTAGGCTTGTTTGGTTTATTTTCTGTCTAAGCATTTTTGATCGAGGTTTTACTAATCATTTGTTCTAGTAAATTCTGATACGTGCTTTGATCAAAAGTCGGTTTGTGGGTTTGTATGCGTATGGTTCACCACTTTTAAGTTACAATTATACCCTTTTTTGCATTTATCATGTATAAAGCTCTAGTTGATGAACTCTCACACATGTTGCTGTTACTTATGTGTTGTTTCTGTTATATGGTTTTCTCCTTTGTCGGCGAGGATCCAATTGAGGTAGAATGCTGATGGTTTATCACAATGAGTGTGTTGTGGTGATGTTTTTGTTCAATATGATAATTATGCTTCAGTTACTACAAATCTGTATTTATGATTGTCAAATTGTGTTTGGCTTGGTTACAGACTCCACGTGGACCCGGTGGTTCTAGAGAATATGTGGGAAGAGGCCCTCCTCCTGGGTCAGGCCGCTGTTTCAACTGTGGGCTTGATGGTCACTGGGCTCGAGACTGCAAAGCTGGTGACTGGAAGAACAAATGTTATCGCTGTGGTGAAAGGGGCCACATTGAGAGAAACTGCCAAAATAGTCCAAAAAAGCTCAAGTTTGTTCTTCTTCTTTCTTTCTACACTCACTTTAGCTTTCTTGATTGCTGGAGCTCACAAATTAACCGTGTTAATTGTCCTACAGACGTGGTCGGAGCTACTCAAGGTCACCAGTGCGATCGCGCTCTCCCCGTCGTCGTCGAAACCGGAGTCCAAGTTACAGCAGAAGCCCCAGCTACAGGTAATATCAATTAATTTGAGTGCTTGGTGATGTTGTAACTTGTAAATATTGCTCTCTAGGGTGCGTTTGGTATGCGGGACAGAGCAAGACGGCACAGCTGGACAGGATTAAAGCTTGTTGTCCCATGTTTGGTATGACGTTAAAACCGAGAAAGGACGGGACTGAGTAGGATAAAAATGCATTTTCTTTGTTCCGCCAAAATGGGTAGGAACAAAAATCAGGGAGATGAGACAACTTGCAAATTATTTGAACTAACGATGTCAAATTAAAACCCCAAAACCTTGCACGATTCTTACGCCCTTGCCATCTAGTCCTGTCTGCGTACCAAACGCATTGCCAACGGTTTTTCACTTGTTTATTATTTGTTCTGGTTGATGCCAGTCGTTCCCGATCTCCTGCAAAGAAAGAACGCTTTGTGGAGCGTGAACGGAGAACAAAGAGCCCCCGCTACTCTAGGAGTCCAAGCCGCAGCCCTGAGCCACGTGACTCACCACCTCCGTCAACACTAAGGAAGCCAAGCCACAGCCCGGCTCCCAATGAGGACCGAGTTAGCCCATCTCCAGAGAGAGTTAATTCAGAATATAGCATAAGCCCACAGAGAGCAAAGAGCCAAAGTCCTGCAAGCAGCCCAGCTAATGATACTAGGTATGATAGCCCTTCTAAAGCCAATGGTGGCAGCCGCAGCCCGAGCCAAAGCCCCATCGGTGATGATGGTCCCGCAGCTGAGGGGAGCCCGGTTGACGACGATGGCCCTGTGGCTCATGGTAGCCCAGTTGATGAAGAAGGTCCTGTTGTTGAAGGAAGTCCAGCCGATGGTGACGAAGAGACTCGACAGGCCAGCGAGTGAAAAAACCAAGGTATCTTTTATTTAAGTTGTCGTAAGACCGTGAAAACCGAACATGTTTGCTTTTGTGGTCGGGTGTTTTCTTGTTGAGGAACGGGTTAAATGTTGGAATGTTCACTTTCGTGTTTTAAACTTCTCCTGGTTTTGAACTTGGTACTGTTACTATGATCACAGGCGGTGCTAGATGTCTTTGATTTTAGAGTTCGGCTCGAAACAATAATATTAGGCTTGAGCTCTACTCGAGTTTGACTAACTTTTCAAAGTCGGGCTCGAGCTCAAGTTCAAATATTTTTTCAATGTCTGAGCTTGAGGTCAATGCTCGTTTATGAGATTGAATTCAAGATCGATTAACTCATTTATTTGCTCAAGCTCGATGATTTTTATATTTTGATCATATAATTTGTGAACGTATAAATATGTTTGGCTCGAAAGTGTGTGCTAGAGTCCAGACTCGACTCAAAGTTCAATCGAGCTTTCGAATGAGTCGAGTCAAATATTGGTGTTATGGAGTCCGATTCGTCAAAGCTAAAACAATATTTATTCCGTGTTAGAGATCGACCAAAGCTCGATAATTATTAATCTCGGGACCGAGTAGCTTGTTAAAAAGCTCGACTCGCTTACACTCCTGTTGTGTATGGGGTGTGCTTGAATTTTGAGCAGCCACCATGTTGGTGGTCAAGTGCAATGGTGTGGTCTTTTTTAGGGGCCAAATCAAACGAGCCTACTATATTTGTGCAAAAAGTTGATTATTGACACCCTCAACTAGCCTCATATAGAACCTGTTTTTAAAAGACATTAATATAAGAAGGCATTTCACAACTATTAATTACTTACTGGGTAATATTTTAGTTCACCAAAACGATATCGTATGCAACAACTAACCTGGTAAGTGCTAACGGTGGTAAGAGTCGTCGCCTTCACTTACCGGGTAAGACTCTCAGTCTTTGCCTTTGCTCTTACCGGGTAAGATTCTTGGTCCTTGCCATATTGATTTGATAAGGTAATATGACTTGTTAAATGCTTACTCGGATAAACATTTAGTAAACAAGCATAGTATATTAAACATCTTCGATTAATTGAAACAAGACCAGTCAACCCTAGATACGTAACCTGTTAAGGTCAATCACTTACCCAAAATCGATCCTACGATGGACTACTTTTTCATGCAAATATTTGTATTTTAAATAATTTTCATGTAATTTTAAACGTATGGTAAGGCGTATATAACGTTTTTTAAACATATAGTAACAAATAATTTAAAAATAACAAATTACAACCACCGACTGGATTGACCGGTTGCATCGGTTACAATCAGTTTTAGGGCTGTTTTTTTACCTCTTAATAGTTCTATTAAGATGTATCATCTGAATCGCTAAGGGGGTGAATCTTGTTTGGCAAAAAAAAGACTCTTAAACGTCAAACCTAAAAAACAATCATAATTTTTTATCCATTGATATCATACCCTCAAGTCGTTGCTTACGAAGAAAAGGAAGGGAACGGGGGAGAGAAAATCTTGTGTCCTCGAGTTTATTTGAAGAAAAAGGAAGGAAAAGAAGGGAAAGTAACGTGCATCTTCATCCGAAGTGTAGGAGGAAAGAGATGGAGAAGAAACAAAAATTATTACGATAAAAAACCTTTATAAAAATTATACATTTATTTGCTGATTATAATTCTCTGTAAAATAAACAAGGGTATATTTGTAAAATCAACTTCTTTTTCTTTATCTCTTGCTTAAGAACATGAAAATCTATTATCGTTCGTCTTTTCCTTCACTCTTAGTTTTCTTCCCAGATCCGAGGACAAGGCGTAAACCGTCAGGGTTACAGGACCGTGGCATATGGACAAGAAGTAAAATTCTCAAATTCGGGTCCCAAAACCAGCTCTAGATTTGTTTTTTCCGGTGAAAATGGATCTTATGGTAAGAAGGGATCCTCACCGTTGAATTCATAATTAAAGATCAACACTGATATAAAGATGCACCAGATCGATTCTCATGATGAGCACAATTCATGGGAGTGGGGGTGAGATTATAAGTAATCAAGGGTCCAAATCCCTTCTTCCCGTTAGGTAGCTAACTTAAGTGCCTGGTGCTCTTCCCATACAACGACGGCCAGACTTGCACTGTTCCACACCCTGAAACCTATTTTTACAAGTATACCACCAGGAATCCGCACCCTGAAACCTATTTGTACAAGTATACCACCCGGAAACCAACTGTGATACATCTAACGGCATTAAGCACATACCAACCAACTTTCTAACAAAAACGACATATGAAAAAGGAAAAAAAAAACATAAACAACAGTGTGCGAAAACAGGATCTACTCTATACATCAATAAAGTCGGATCTCGGTATACATCACATATCACCGACGCTAGTCGATGTATTAAAGAAAATACTGTTTTATCATATATCACAACACCGTATAATCACCCTTTTCCATACGATGCTCGACTGCTTGCTTTTATATACAGGTAATCGAGCACAAGACAGAAAATCAGAAACATATTTGTCAGATCGAATCAATACCTAACTCATCTTCTACGTCATCTGTATCTTCAAAGAGTTTCAGAAACCGAGCCTGTTCTTGCTGTCTTTTCCTCTTCTGCCAATACTTGTATGCAACAACCAGTCCTGCGACGAATATAGCCGAAGCCGCAACACTTATAACGATGATTATTATAGTCCATTGCATTCCGTGCCCTTCCTCATGAGGATGCGAGTCGCTATCCAAGTTTGTAGTTTCGTCTGCAACGATAATATTTTGGTTAGTGTCACAAAAGCTCGATCACTACAACAGGGTATGGTGGGTGAGATGTATGCACACCTGTCAATCTACACTCATAGGATAGAGCGGTTACTCTTGTGAAAACCATTAAGCTTGTGTAAAAGTGTGAGCGAAAAGGAAATAAGAACCAAGACTAGTAAATACTCCCTCCGTTATTACACTTTTTAATCAACTAAATGACAATTCTACCCTTAATAATAAAAGGGGAGAATGGGAAAGTAAGCACTCACTTTTGAAACATATAAAAGATTGTTAGATATGTGAACCCTAAGGGGTTGTTTGGTTGATTTTCCATTTAAGTCATGTATTAATAAAGTTGTTTGTTCAGAGTTCAGACTAATCGGTCACTGCAGATTGGAGAAGTTTGTTTTGGAGGTTTTTTTCATAGATGGAAGGAGTGTTCTTTTAATTGGGGATGAGCAGGTTAAGAAAAAACTCGACTTTCTACATGAAGTTCCCCACTAGAAGCTTATTGAATAAGCCACATTCTATATCATCAAACCACTACGAAAACGGTCATTTGTAGTTGACCGAGTAAGTTATGAATCTCATTAAGCTGCTAACAAACAGACCCTAATAAACCTATGGGCAGGATACAAGAAGGCTTCGAGTCTGCAGAGTGTGCATGAGGAACAATGAAAGTTCAAGAATTGTGTTTTGAGACGAGGAATTCATACGTTCGAGTGTTCGACTGATAACCACGTACATAAATATTTATATGGGTTCAACTATTTGCAAACATCCAACAATTGTCATTATAACCATCTAATTGTTGCAATTAGAAATTTTAAAAAGCCGTAGTCCGGTTTACCATCCAAAACAGGCTCCATATTCAACACTCAATTAGTTATATCATGCAAGCCTCTCTGCCACATGGGTAGAGGCAAGGTCTGCATACATCCTACCCTCAGACCCTATCTCTGTGTAAGATATATTGGGTTTCTTTGGTTTGGTTTGGTTTATTAGTGGCATCATGCATGTTTCAAGAGATCAATTTTGGATGTCTAGTTGCTGGCATAAAACTAATTGTGTGTGTACATATAGGTGGTTTCAATTACAAACTCAACTATTAGTACGAATCATACAAACCAAACTCAACCATTCATCTAGTCTAATGAATATCTCGATTGTTTCCTAATATATAGGCGTTGATCATAATAAATGAACTCTGATGATCTTCCATAAATATCATGAACTCTAGTAATCTTCATCATAAATAAGCACTCATCATTTCTTTAAATATATCAATCAATTGGTTTGTATGGTTTGTACTGATGTCGGGCTTGTAAAAGCTCTCTCCTCTCCTCTGTGTGTGTGTGTGTGTGTGTATAAGATTGGGTTCTGGTGAGAATAGAAGTAACGGTGAGAAGCGTAAAAAGAGATCTTCACTTTGGATCAATCCTAATTAAATATCAACACTAATGAGGTGCACTGGATCAATTCCCTTGTAAAACGCAATTCATGGGTGGGTATAAAATTAAAAGTGATCAAGGGTTCAAATCTCTTCTTACACTTCTCAACTTAACTTCTATTCTCACACAAGCCTTTGTCTCTCTCTCTCTCTCTATATATATATATATATATAAGTTAATTGGAGAACATACCGTGTTTTATGCACTCATGACACAAGAATGTCGCATTGAATTCCTTGTCAACAGTACGAATGTAGCGACCGTCAGAGGCTGCAAAATCTGAAGGACAGAACTCCCACTCATCAAACACATCATCAAACTTAATATGCTCCTCCTCATAAAACCCGCACCGTTTGCATTTTTTACTAGAGAACTCCGTAAGAGGCTGAAAATATTAAGCAAAAAAACCTGGAATCACTTTCAAAAAATAAATACGAGAAATGATAGGTCATGTACTGCCTCCATAATACCTTGTAGGGCTATTACAATCCATATATCAATCAAATGCAGCCATGAAAGGATATATTATCCGAATTTACATGTACATCAACAAAAAATCATTTACATATCTATAAAAAGCTCTTTCAGTAACACCTACAATATAATTCATCTTTCCTAAACCCGACTGAATAGAGACAATAATGAGAGCCTTTTGTTCACGGTCATTTTTTGGATAACCATGGGAATCCAGGCCAGCTTATGCGCACCAACAAATCCCTTGGGCGACCACAAATGACCTGGTATCATCGCATGTGAACCTCCATGGCCATATGGCTGTGTTTGGATTCGAACCCAAGAATATGAGATTTCCACTACATCCCCTTGAACCATTGTGCCACAAGGCCCACAACCTTGATACAGACAAAGTGTGAAAAAGCAAATGATATTTTAAATTGTGAACGGAAGGGATAGTCATCAAGAAGATTAGAAAAACAGAACCTCTACTGATATTTTAAATTGTAAACGATGACACCACAAACACAGTAATTAGAAGCAAATAATTAGCAGCATTGATCCCCTTCCTAAACTTTTTCCAGTCAACAACAGTTGGAATGCCTCATTCTCCCTCGAGAGGTATGCAATGAAAGATCCAATCATTACATACCTGAAAAGATTCTTCACCCTTAAACTTATATACAGTGTATGTCTTCTTCACATCCGGAAGAGCTGCCTTCTTCTCCCCGCTACATTGAAAGTAAACTTTGGGTTTTGATCCTAGCCATTCATGGTTTTTGTATATTTCCAGGGAATCAAGTGTGACAACTGCTGACAGTAAGAGTTCTGCAACCAAAAAGAAAACCAAAAGACCAAAAAACACATAAAAATCAATAGAAGTAAGCAAAGTATATCATACTTGATTTGAACATACATGTACATACATTGAAACACTAGGAACCTCAACATTTCTGTAACGAAATGGTTATATCTTTTTTGGAAGGGTATCCAAGGCCATGTCTAATCCCGACAAAAGTGACTGTAAGACATTAGGCCTGATAAACTCAGAGGCCACAATTGTTGTGGACGCCTGTAATCGTACCCGGGGCAGATGGAATATTCCACCACACCCCCTTGGGCCTCAACCGTACGCCAAAACCCTTGGAGTTAAAATGGTTATATCTTTATAAGGACTTAGGGCTATATGCTTCTATACTAATAGAGAGATAAGAGACAGCCTTGATTGTTTGATTGGTTCCTAACATATCCTTGTCTCAAATGAATTCCAACTGTTCACTGAAGGCCGGGTAGGACTCTTTTGAGTCTTGAGGTGATGCCCGAGCTATAGCTTCACCAATTGCAAACCCAAAAAAGGCATATAAATCGATACCAATTGCACTGGGAACTATCTTTTGGTTATACTTCGTCCACCTTCCCAAAGTTCAGACTTATAGTCTATAGTAGAGTTTAATGAGAGCACCATCTCCGTATAACTTTCTACATTGTCTGTCATAGTGAGTTTTCTTTTCCTCTCTCTTCATATCGAAGAATATCAACCCATAAGACAAAGTGTCTGAAAAGCACTATGCCACATCCCCCAAGACTTGAGTAATCAACATTTATATGTTTCTTCTAGTTTCATAAGAAAATGTAATACTATTTCTAATTTGGGTCTGAACTGTGAACCACAAAGGAATTACCCAAGGCCCCGACCAGACGTAAGCAGGTTCAATCAACAATCATCCCAATTTCATTCGGAAATAATCAACAAAACATCTATATAAACGCATATTTGATTCATAGAATAAACTTGAACAGCTGATCTTGTGCCTATTGAATTATTTTACTTCAAGGAAACAAAGGAAAAGTTATCCACACAATCTATACATAAATTACGACATATGCGAGAACGTAAAAACTATCCGATTCACCACGGAGCAAAAGCACCTAACGCAAAAATACTTGATTAAACCACAAGTGTTTGAATCAAGATTTGATTTCGTTATACAATTTAAAATTCAAATCAGAAGCTGGATTTCTCACACAGATAGAGCCAATAACCAACAAAATATTCATCACCTTGTTCCAATCAAGAATCATAAAAAAACAGCTAAAACTAATATATCTTTTCAAATTCTCTCAAATTAATAAACGAATTTCAATCTGGTAATCAGTTCGCAAGTAGAGTAATAATCGAGAAGAATTTACCTGGAAAAGAAAAGAGAAGAATAATCGAAACCCCAGAATTCCAACGACTCGCCATTGACGTGATGGAACAAATCAATCGACCATCGAGAATTTGCAAAAAAATTAGGAAGATGATGCTACGAGAGAAATCAGGGAAATTTTCGTTAAACAAGCCAATCGATTCGTCTTAACGGAGGCGACGGTGGCGTGTCGTTTTCCGGCGAGCGATCGAGAGAAAGGGGGGAGAGATTCGCGCGTGATTCAATATATGTAGTGGTAGGATCTATCGTACGCACATGGTGCGGTTTAGCACCAGAGGGTAATGGCAGTCGCTTCAACCGACTTTGTGTGTTTCAACCATTTTTTTAGTAAATTATGGGTTAGAATAAAACTTTCATATACATTTAACCAGAAATGGCCAAATGGGCTCAATCTGGCTCTAAATCGAAGGAGGATCTGGACCGATTTGAGACTGGCCCGACCCAGGATCGATTGTGACTATTGGTTTGGGACCGGTTACAGTTTTGTTAAAAAAGAAGGCCCGACCCGATACCATTTGGGACCGGTTAGGGGCCCGACACGATTTTTCAAAAGCATTACCATTTTATTACCGATACCCAATGTCCATGTGAAAGTTTTTCCCATTTTTGATCGTTATTGTCTCATTTACCTTCTATTCAATATATATAAGTCATATGGTATATGTGGGAAGATACTAACTTACAAACGTTCATAGTTCTTATTATAATTCATGATTTCGGCTCGTATTCTCGCAAAAAGCGTATTTTTAAAGTGTATCCAATTGACTCAGTTATATATTTTTCAGTGTATTAAAATAATAATTTTGTATTATTTAAAAAAACTTAAAAAATATGCGTAAAAAATTGAATTTAAAAAATATATACATAGAACCGGTTTGGGCCCAGCCCATGACCGGTTCTCGTAAGTGGTTACAAAGTAACTTAACCGGCCTTGGGCTTTTGGTCGGGACTGGTTACAGGAATAATGTTTGGGGCTGAGATTGATTTGGGCCCGGCTCGGCCTGAAACTGATTTTTGGCCATCTCTACATTTAACTCTCTTTATTAGATAATTTTGGTAATATTTTAGTTGTGTCTAAATTTGAAAGATTAAATAAATTAGAGGTTTTTTATGAAACGGTCAATCAATTTGTTTTTTAGTTACTAGTTATACCATTAATATTTTGTATTCTTTTATTAACTAAAAAATACTACATGTTTTTCAGAGTTTATTTATAATCAATTTTTTCTTATAAATTTATTTATTTTATTTTCATAATAACAAAAGAGATTAGTAGTTTTTTTTTTTCAATTTACAAATCTTTCCAGATTTATTAATACTAAATTGTGATATTTTTAAAATTTTGATTATATTGTTTTATTTCTATTTATAAAATTCATAAATGAATTGATTTTCTTACAAATTTCATGAATGAAATCATGTTTTCAGTTTTGAAAATATTTTATTAATGAAACTAGTTTCATTTTGGTTAGAAATGATGAAACTAAGTTCATCAATAAAATCATATATTCAGTTTCAAAATGTTCCATTAACTGAAACATATTTAATTTCATTTTGATTAGAAAACATGAAACCAATTAGAGAGTAAACTCCTAAGTGATAACAAATATGCATATTGAAAGCGTTCAAGTGGTTTCTCTTCTTTTCGAATGCTCTTATGCTCCAGAGACCAAAAACCCTTTTCACTTTTCTTTTCTTCTTACCCCAAACAAAAGAAAGAAGAATGAAAAGAGCGTTCAAATAAAAACCATCTAATTTGTATAAACCGTGAAAACCACATTCAACCAATCATAATTTTTCATTTTGTTCATTTTTTTTTGTAATTGTGAGAGGTTGATTAACCATTTTTATCGTAGAGGGTATTAATCATAGATATTATCATCTTCATTATTTTAATTTTAGAGAAATACATGAAACAGTTTCATTACATATTATATGAAACAATTTCATAACCATATATGAAACAAATTCATCAAAAAAAATATTATATAAAACAATTTCACAAGATTAAACAATTTAATGAAAAAATTTCATAAGATTAAACAATGAAATCGACGTATGAGGGTGGTTTGTACGTTTGTACAAATGAGAGTGGTTTTCATTTTATCGCTTCTCTCTCTCTCTCTCTCTCTCTCTCTCTCTCTATATATATATATATAGATTTGGGATCACATGAGATCAGACTGTTTTCGTGAGACCAGTTTTTTACACTTGAAACTTCACATCAAAATGTTGTAAAGGTTCGACTTTTTTAAACCTTCACAGTGTTTTTGCTATGAAATTTCAAGTATAAAAATGTGGTCTCACGGGTTTCACGAAAACAACTTGGTTTCACGTGAACCCTACCCTATATATAGGGTTGAGTTCACTTAAGACCAAGGGTTTTTCGGGATACCCGTAAAACCAATTTATGTTCATTGATCAACTTTATAAGCTAATGATCTAATAGTCTAAAGTTGCACGGTGGCAATTTTGTGATTATTGAGAAGTCTCGTGGCAATTCTGTGATTTTTAATGTTTAGATTGTAGATCTAACCCAAAGGTTGAGAATTAGTCTTACGAGTTTCACAACTCTCTCTCTCTCTCTCTCTCTCTCTCTCTATATATATATATATATATATATATATATCTATACTATATTATAAAGCATTTG